TATTATTATTATTATTATTATTATTATTATTATTATTATTATTATTATTATTATTATTATTATTATTATTATTATTTAATACTATTTGTTTAATTGGGCTACTTCTAATGATTGTTTTATAATTTTAGTTTTTATCATATTTGTAAAAATAGTTTATTCGAGGTATCATAAATATATTCACGTGACTGTTACAAAACAGTAATTTCGATATGTACATGCGCATGAATGCCAATGCTTATTTAATGCTTATTAATGTTGGTTTAAAAATGATAGTTGTAAATAAAATTTTTCATGCCATAATTTATTATGAGCATGAACACTTTCGTTTAGTGGTGCCTTCAGATTTAGCAGCTTTAATTTCAAGTTTTCCCCACATTTTTTGATCTTTTCCAGATTCTTTTAAATATTCTTTACGCGTTAGTTTACCTATTGTTTCCTTATTAAAATATACGCGTTAGATATTAAAAAATTTAAAAAATTATATAAAATAAAAGTGATAAATATTAACAAACTTTAATCTTTCCAATGATAGCATCCTTTGTCCCGCGTGCTAATGAAGGATTCTCAAATTCAATCTTATTATTTTCACGCATTGGTGGTATTTCATAAATTGATAATCCAGTTTCAGAAGCAGGTGTATTAATATTAGAAGCAAAAGGTTTAAGATTATTATATGCATCTGTCGCCCATGGAGGAATGGATTGTCCTGAAGGAAGCCGGGTAACCGGGCCTTAAAGTAATTATAAACAGTTATAAATTTAAAAGGTAATAATTTTATAATGAAAAGATATAAATCCCTTCTCGTATTACCTGGCATAGTTGCGGCACCAACCCATCCGGCTTGATGTGGATCATTTAGGATATCTTCGGAATACGTATTTGACATTTTTCAATAAAAGTTATCAATAAAAGTTAAAATATAATTCGTTTAACATTAAAAAATTTAAGCATATTATTTGTTTTGTCACAGTATTTATAAAACAATTAATTAGCATTTTATGAAGTCAGAATTGCGTCATGATATGTTTATAAAAACAGGTTGATAAAATTACGTATTTTTGCTTAATGGAAAAATTTTAGAATTTTCCTTAATATACTTGTTTTCCATAAATGCGATATTATTACTTAAAATAGGATTAGAATTATTTATACGTATGCATGTTTGAACTCTCTAAAATATGCTTATACAATCGCAAATATTACTTTTACCGGTATACGTATATAATAAT